GGCGTCGTCTTAATCTCGGTTTGGTACAAATACCATCTTTTTGAACCGCAAAAGGATTAATAATGACTTTAAACCGGGGAATGAAAGAAAGATCGGGAAGAACTGAAGGAGAGTTGAGAATGTTGCAAACCAAGAAAGTATATGGAAATTTTCAGACATTATTATTGTACCAAAGAACCATTTTTTCCCTTTACAATTGTGCCTATCAAATGATTATTCGTCGCGTGTAAATACCTTCTCGACCTTAAGAGCTAAAAACAAGAAAGAGAGGAGTGAAAAACAGACCATAGCAAGCATTACTATGAGCATTGCTTGCAGTGATATGTACGGGCTTAGGAAGAACACAATCGCTATCGCTGCGCTCTGCCATACTTTTAGCTGCGCAAACGCTCCTTCCTGTTTCAATGAGTAAAAGAAAAAGAAAAGAAGGGGACTTAGCGGGGGTTTTTTTTCATACGTTTCAATGAATTAGAATAATAATTGTGATATTAACTGTGTCATGTTTGAAGAGTAATGCGAGAAGAGCGCTGATTTGAGTGTTTAATATCCCGTCACCAATTCCTAATAGCGCCGCCATTATAAGAGGGTAAGCTGTGCCAAGTACTCCACTAGTTTGCCTGCATCATCATATCACCATAGCTTATCTTCTTCAAAACCATTGTAGGTTGCGTGGTTCACACAAATCGTACATTCATCAGTAAAAGAACCCGACTCTAGCGTAATTTCAAAAATGACAAAAAAATAGGAATACTCCCTAAAGGAAATTGCATAAGCAGTGCCGATACACCAGTAATCAAGTTTTTTTTGTTGTTGGTAAAATACCAGTGATAAAGTTCTACGGGGAAACCATTTCATGAAAGCACAAAACGTAAGGAGTTATGGACTCACATAAAGTATGTCTCCATTTGTGAACGGTGGAGATGGTACTAGATAAGGAGTAAAAGTAACGAACCTGTACCCAAGAAGAAGCCAGAGAAATACAGAAGCTTGAGCAACAGCTCCACCAGAAACTATGAAGGTGATTGATGACAGACCAGAGGTAAACCGTCCAGCAGTCATTGAACACTAGAATGATTTTCAACAGAAATAAGTATTGACCTCATAAAACCCACGCCACAAAAATGGAGGTTTTATGGTTTCCTTTTACACTTACAATTGCATCAAGAGCTCCGTAGACTGCCATAGCCCCACCAACACCTGAGACACCAATGGCAGGTGTAACAACTTCCTTTGTAAACTCAGCCCTATAAACAGGAAGAAGCAACTTGTAAAAATATTGAAGATGTATATCATATGAAAGATTAAACAAAATCTTGGCAGATTTCACTGAGAAGATTAAACGATTTTCTTTCATCTGTACACGATAGAATAAATCCTACTAACTGTGTGAAATCCTATGTGAGCATCACACGGGGGCAGTACTTCATTTATGCTATTCTTGTGACAGACCAGGAATGCATACAGTTTGTTGAGAGACATACCAAACAAATGCTTGTTGCAATCCTGAATACGCAAGGAGTGGGACAATCAGTAGCATCCGTATGTCAAGCAAAGGAGTGATTATCATCCTTGGAAGAGAAGCCAAGGTATCAACTACGCCCACAGAAGAACCCACATGTTCTTTTCCTTCTTCTCCGTCAATTTTACGAATGAAGAACATTAATATTGTTCCTAATGTCATACTGAAGAGAAACACCAACATCAATAAGGTTGTGCCACTGGTGCTTCCTTCCTGCAGTCATGGCAACAAGGAGAAACTATGGAGCTTCCCGGCTAGAAAGTGAAATCTATAAATCATCACTGGAAATGTGGTAGATAGGTCTGCTATTCAATACTCCAACCTTAGAAATAATTACTTTGTTATTTGAAGAGAACCAGTAGTCAATTTATATAATTAACATGACCAAAGAAACTAAACTAAAGCAACCTCAAAGGGACGCTATAAGATTGTTGTCAACAATAGAAGAAACTGGTACCTTTCCATCTTTCAGCAATGCAAGTGTGATGAGATTCCCAAACAGCTACAAAAGGATTGATGCCAAATGTGTAAGTGCATACAAGATTCAGAGGTAATAAAACGGAAGAGCATTAAGCAAGGATAATCAAACAAAGCATGCACCTGGTGGCAGGCAAACATAGCCCAAAATTCCCCATTGAAAACACCGATTACGGATCCTTCATGCACGTCATGATCTTTAGCATGTCTTCTAGCAATTGATGTAAGGTATGTTCCCTAATGCAATCAAGAAAAGTTGAGAAAGATTGAAAAATCCACTACTTATCCTGCGCATGATTAAGATTAAGGGAAGAGAACATGTCGTTGCACCTGGCCAACCCATATTATTGAAGCTGTAAATCCAAGGTATAAAGAGGCTGGTACCATAGTAAACCTAGAACCAATAACCATACGACAAGAGCAAAAAAGTGTTCAAGTGTCTGAAAGACCAAAAGAATTTTCATGAGACAACAGTTAGTCATAAGACAAAGGAAGATATGAGAATACCATGATGGCTTCAGATTCGCAGCGACAAAGAGCCAATACCCTGTAGTTCCTAAAACCAGAGCATTCTTTGATCCCATTAACCGGACAACCAAAGATGCAACCATGGAGCAAAACATGAAGGACACATACAATATCCCTAGAGAGATTGTTCCCAAATCCTGAAAGAACCAAAAACAACACAAACTTCACCACAGAGAGTAAATCTACAGAACTAAGACAATTTCGTGTCTCATCTTAATTTGGGACAACAATCTTCATGGGTCCTGCTGCTCTCGAATTCGTGTTCCTCTCAAGATCCATCAAATACAAAATGACAGCATAACTCAACTTCGATTACGCAAATCGACGAAAATGGAAAAAAACGAAATTAGGATCAAGAACCTTATTAACGGTAGTTTCGAGATTCTGAGCAGCACCATAGGCGAGGAAGATTAACAAGAAGGAGATGCTGAGGATATGAACATCCCTTGTATAGCTCTTTCCAGGTCTCACCTTCCGACCCTCGCCTGTTACCAACGGCGCTTCCTCGTCGTCTCTGAAATCCATTTCGGATAATCGGTCAGTTCACCTCACCGACTACAGCTCCGGGAAGAGAATGAGCACGACGGAGAGTGAAAGTCAAACCATGTCCTAATGTCCAGAAAGGAGCCTGATAAATAATTCAGTGCAATCTGGTTCCGGTTCGGTTTATTATGCTCCAATAATTTAAATTTTAGATCGGTTTAGTTGGGCCGGGCCCATTTAAAGAGCGTTAAACGAACATCCAGAGATATATAATCTCTGTTTGTTTCCCGGGAAAACTGAAGAAGCCGGATTCTAATTCGGTTAGAATCCGGAATTTCATAGGATCTTGGGTTCAAGTTACCATCAAACCCCACTAAATCCCAGAAGAAATCAGTGTGGAATTAGTATTATATCTCTGATTATTGTTAAACCCAAATTTTTTACTAATTAGCCAAAGATTTTGAAACCCTAAAATCAGAACATCAAAATCAATGACGAGTAGATAGATTGCCGAAATTACTGTATATTTTTCATATATTTGGACTGAAAAGAATCACCAATAATAGCCAAAAACTGAAAAAATAACACAAACCGATCCGAAATTTAAGAACTAGACAAATCTCTCTAGCAG